TAAGAGGGATCTGGTATTGCTGATGGGGTTGGTTGATTTCTTAATCCAGGAAGTTGTGGATTCTGCACACTCCTCCCATATACAGCCTGCAGTTGGTGCTGTAAGTAATGTGGTGTTTAACTTAGACAGCTGTTGCATATACATACACACTCATGCCTTAGTGGAATCAAAGCTTAGATATTATATAGAAATACATTTTTACTCTTGTGTGACATGAACAGTGAACCTTTTTCTTGTTTTTTGTTGCTGTTATTTGTTGGTTTTATAATTTTATAATACCTTGTGTCTAAGTGCTGAGACTTTCCACTCTTGCTTAGTTAAAATAGGATTTTCCTTTAGCCAACATCTTTGTAAGTGTAAATGTCTGTTATACAAACTTGTTAAAAATTTCATCAAATTCTTAAAGTTGTTTTTGTAAAAGAAATAAAAAACAATTTGATTTGTACTATAAGTGTCTTAAAATATGTGAGTTACATATCAATTGAATTGTACCTGAAATCTCTCTTATTCTATACAGCAGTGACCAAAACCAGCCCATCACTTTGTGAATCATCCCTATTGATAAGAAATAAGCCACACAAGGTGTTGTGTCATAGTCAAAACATCTTAGTTTTTTGATATTCTATGCCATACATATTTCTAGATCCTAAAGTATAAAATCAGAACCTAATCACAGTTTAGTACATTTTATTATCTACTGTTATATGCATTATATTCTGTATATTTTGTTTCTAAGCTCTTTGGGTCACCATTGAGCACACAGAAAAAGGAGGTCTCCAGAGTCCACGGCCTATTCTCCATAGTAAACCCCAGGCTATCCCTGGCTACATAGTGATGCCCAACCCATGACAGCATAATGTTACCCTGTCTGTGGCTACATAATAATGCCCTGTGTCAAAGAAAGCAAGCAAAGCACAGCAGGTGTAAGAATCTGCTACTTGACCTGTCAAGAGTGATCGCTGGGGGGGGGACAGTGCCTGTAACACTGCACAGTGATCCGACATTTCCCCCATTTTCGTGTCCTCACCAAGCGTCATGATATATATTATTTTTGTTCAAAGATTCCTAAGATATTGTCGCTCGTCCTCTTGAACTGAAAAACATTTAGACAATTATCTTTAATACTATATTTACAATGAAAAGGTTCTTTGGAATAAAAAGTAAGTCGATAAAAATCTAGTTGGGGGCTGTGATCCATTTGCTAGCCTAGTGTTTTCACACACTTAGTACAGGCAGCTTTCGTGCCTCTGAGCCCTCATCAGTTGCTGCCACTTTATCATAGGGTCACTGTGCTGTGTCAGCATGCATCCAGCCTTTTCCACCACATAGACCACCCACACTCAGGTGACAGTCACACACTGAGAAGCCCCCAGTTAGACACTACTCAGGTTTGATGTCTAGCTGACCCTTACAGGATATCGCTGACTTCTTCTCATGAGTTTGTTTAATACTATGTAGTTCAGTAATAGTAAATCAAATTTATTTAAAACAAAACCAGATAAGCTGATATTGCACTATTTAAGTGGGAAACCTTTTCATTTTAAATTAATGTTTTAAATTTTTCATAAGAAAACTTGTTTAACATGTAATTTGAGGATTTATAAAAGAAATATTAAATAGACTTTTAATATCACATCTAAGCAATTTTCTAATAGATTCACAGTCTCCGTCACTAGAAACAACAGGAAAAACATGCCGAAAGCTGCAGAACAGACTGGAGAGTTTGCAAACCCTGGTAGAAGATTTACAGCTGAAGAACCAAGGTACAGTATACACAGCTGTCTCCAGGGCTGGGGAATTAGCTCAGTGATAGAGCGCTTGCTAACAAACCCCTGGTTCAATCCCCAGCAATGGGGAAACTCACAGAAAGACACACACATGCATGCACACACAAGAAATATTTTTCTAACAACAGACATTTGTACAATAAATGTTAGCATGTTACTAATACTCAGCCTCTATCCATTAACAACTCGCTCACGTGCAGCCCCTGAACTCACTGTTGCTCTTGTCTTCATGCGGCCTTCACAGCAGCATGGGAGTGTGGGTCCTGACGACACGTAGTGAATAGTACTGAGGCTTGATCCTTGCAGTTTCTAATGCTAAAGCCCACATTCTTTAACACACCAAGGTTACATCACATTGCTGTTAAAAGAAAATCTCAAGTAAATTGTGTTAACCCAGCCTGCTCTGAGCAGTAAGAAAACATTTTGCACTGCCCATATTATTGTGAGTCTTTTAAAAAAAGAACATAGATTGGGTTAGGTCCCACTTACACCAACACTTACTGAGTTCATCCTGCCTATGCCATCCCAGAGGCATCTGTTTGGAAGACATACGGCATCTGTTTAATCGGAACAGTGCCTTGGGCCAGATGTAATGCCTGGCAAGATGGTGCTTAAAGTTCTGAACAAATTTTTTTGGAGGTTTTTGGGCAGAATTTATCAAAATTTAAACTACAGGCCTATAGGTAGAACTTGATGTTAAGCGATTGCTGAACATGGACAAGAGTGTGGGCTGAGTCCCCGGCACAAGCAGAGACAAAGGCACACATGCATTTCCACTTGTGTGCATGCGCACAGGAACACAGAGAAATCCCCCAAACTACTTGTTGTCGTAGTTTGTCCCCAGAGATGGAAGGACAGGAGGCTTCCCTCTGGTACCTTCTTGAGGTGCTTGATTTATGCCTCTGTTGTCTAGTCCTGCTTCTTGGAGGCTGTTGGATTTGTTACAAAAGTTCGATGAGTTGAAGTCTATGCACGCCAGGGTCAGAGTGGGTCTGTTCTGCAGGCTAACAACTTATCCTGGAAGATGAGTGTGGAGGGGTTTAAAACCTGAGTTGATTTTACAATCTAACTTTGTTTTATTGATATTTCAGCAATGTCTTCAATGATCAGAAATCAAGAAAAGAGGATTCAGAAAGTGAAAGACCAGGAAAAAATGTTACTAAAATGATGCATTGCTTGCCTGCTCTCTACAGAGAGCCTGATGATTAATTGTGGTGTTACTTATAATTAGTGCCCTGGGAACTTTTTTCTTTTTATGTGAAATTTAATAAAAGATACCCTTTCCTGTACATTCTATTTTGAAATAAACTTTTTGAATGCTCTCACAGTAAAACTTGGAACATTACCAGCTAGATTTGAGAGTCATATTTATAATGTATTAATTTATGCTAATTCTAGCATGTTGGTATAATTGTTTTAAATTATTTTACTGGTTCTGAGATAGTAGAGTCATTTTTTCCCTACCTTAACAAAATCTGAGTTTCAAGAGTGGGGGAACGTGTTCAGATGGTGTAAAGGGGTGCAGAGCCAAGAACAGAAGGACAAACTCCAGCATGCTGGACCTTTTGGTGAACTTTTTGGTGAACTTGAGAACACAGTCTTTGTTCTGTCAATATCAGTAATCAACAAAACTTTGGTGCCCCCAGTCAAAACTTGGAAACCTCTTCTCTTGCATAAAACTAAGAAAGAAAATACTTTGTTACTCTTTAACAAATGAGTAGATAACTTTAACATTGAATTAATACAAATATACTGAGGCAAGGACAGACCTACAAGAGTTTCACTTGTGCCAAGACATTAGAGACAATGCGGCAGGGGTTAATGCCCCCAAGTACACAGTTGTCATGGAGACACAGCTGCTTAGCTGGAGGCCATATTGCAGCCCTAAGCCCCTCACCTCTAGGGATGGTCACCTGGCCAGTCCCCACAGTGGAATAAACATGAACAGAGAACTGTGGGTCAGAGTGTTAATACTTGTGGGGTTTCCTCAAGTTATTTCCCTCCCACAGCCTGGATGCCAAGGATGGAGAGGGCCCTCCAGGTGGCACCACAGGGAGGGGAGATGCTGCTCAGAAGACCTGACACTGCTGACTGACACCGCAGCCAGCAGGGCCCCTGAGGAGGGGAGCCTTGTGCTGCTCTCAATGACCAAGTTATCACTCTGAAGCACACCTAACTTCAAGTGATGATTACAATCGATGTGCATTTCACTCTAAGTGATGTAAGCGTATATACATAGCATGATCTGCTTCTTAAGTCAAAGGGCTTTAGTGAAAGGTTAACTTTAATTTCAACAGGTAACTATAAATAGAATTCTGGAGACTTCTATTTAAATTGTTTTACTTAGCTTTGGGAAATAATGGCCAGCGCCTTCTGTGGGTCTCATTGCGAGATACATAAGCAGAATGCATGGATTTTATCTCAAAGCTGCTGAGAGCCTAAAGCTTCCAAACAGACTTTCTAATGCTGCTTTCAGTTGAATCTAGACTTTTGTCAGCACAGTGCATCTTACATAGAATTAAATACCTGCCTTAGCTGATAGATAATGGAGTGCCAACACATAAAAACTCATTTCATTTGTGCATTTGGAGGTAGAAGTAGGGAAATCAGCTGTTGAAGGTCATCCTTACCCATGTAGGGAGTCCCAGGCCAGTCTGGGCTGCCCTGTCTGAAAACAAAGCTGGGCTGTAGCTCAGTTGTAGAGTGCTTGCATGAACCAGATATGGTGGCACATGCCTATAATCCCAGCACTTGAAAAATGGAGGCAGAAGCCGGGCGGTGGTGGCGCACGCCTTTAATCCCAGCACTTGGGAGGCAGAGGCAGGCAAATTTCTGAGTTCGAGGCCAGCCTGGTCTATAGGGTGAGTTCCAGGACAGCCAGGACTAACTACAAAGAGAAACCCTGTCTCAAAAAACCAAAAAAAGAAAAATGGAGGCAGGAGGATCAGTTTCAAGGGCATCCTTGGCTACATAGTGAATTTTGGGGTAAGCCTATGCTACAAGAAACTCCACCTCAAAAATTCCCTTCTAAGCAAAGTTTTTAAAAATAAGACTTTCTCAAAAAAAAAATTTTAAACTTTCTCCAAGGGAGAGAGAAGACTCTCCACATGGCATCTGCAATAATTTGAGGCTTGCTTTTCTTTATATGTGAAATATAGTTACTTTAATCTAGGTTACAGTGTGAAAATTGAGACACATAACTGAGACACTGAATAAAGATATTAAAACTTGGGATTTATTTATTCAGTTATAACTTAAAGCTTAATTGTTTATTCTCAGAGCAGACATTCTTTTGTATCATGGTCCTATATAGATTTTCACTCTCTGCTATGTAAGGAGAGTGAAGAGTGAACAGATGGAAAAGATGTCTCTGGGGCAGCCCATTTGTTGACACCTAGTAGGAATGAGGTGGAACAGTGAGCAGAGATGGTCCCACCAAGGCATTGTGGGTAAAGAAGGGATGCACCAGACTCCGACTTGTAACCCCAGTCCTCAAAGAACTATACCCTTCAAGCCACCTCAGCATCTCACATCTCAACCCCTCATGCTCTGCTTCCTAGATGACTAACTCTGAATAGGCTTTCAGCCACTAAGACAAAGACATACCTGCTAATGTCTCGTCTATCCTCAGCAGTTAAAATGTAATAAAAACTAACAGGAAGTTTCACTCCTATCCTTACTGGTCACAGTTTCATATGCTGTTACTATTGAATGTAAACAGTGTTGCTTTAGCTGTGTTTGATGACACTTACTGTAGCCTCCCTAGTCTAAGAGCTCCTAAGAGCTCTAACTTGTACCTGTGCAGTTGCTTAGTTTCTCCTTGCCCGTATGTAGTCCATACGTCAGGCATAGCCAAAGCAACTACCCAGGATGATCAATCACAGTCATGATGTGTCAGCACAAACCAGTCAATACAACGAGGGACAAGTGCCAGCTTATAGGAAGCATTATCTGCAAGCATACATCTTCCTACATTTTGGACAAAAGCCACACTAGCAAATCTGAAAGAACCCTGATGGCTACAATTGGAAACACACCACCTTTATTTTTAAACTACACAGTGTGCTCTACAGCCTTAGCCTCTTCCACATTCTGCTGCAGCCTCTTGGATGCTCTGAAAACTGAGTCAGTGAATCCCCCACCACCCATGAACCACTTTATCCTCATGGCCGGTCTGTAGGAGTCTATTGCTGCATTCTTCCCAGCGAGTAACTTTCTTATTCTCTACCAGCACAAACTTCCACTCCACTACTGTGTCTGCAGGCAGGAAGACAGAATGAGACCAGAGCCCGTCCTTGCAGTAATGGAGTGGGATGTACGTGTTCCATCCCCCAAGACTCTCATGGTCTCCGGTTACTGCAATGAACTGCACATCGGTGCTTGTGGTGTAGTGCACCTGGAACTGGATGCTGACCTGTTGAGGTTCCAGAGACACCATCTTCCCATCTACTCCCCAGCCTCTTCCTCCCACAAGATTGTTTGTGCTAGCGTCCATTCCCTGATTTAGACTTAACCTAGAAGCCTCAAGACTGCCACCCAAACCAACACTCCCCCAATTTGAGTGCCTAGATACCACTTCCCAGTCCTCATGGCCTGCAGGGTCCTGACTGACCGATTGTGCAAGACTGGCTGTTTTAGCTCTGTCCATGGGCAGGCTGCTGGAGGGCAGCTTCTCAGCCACACTGCCAGCTACTTTAACAGCTGTTTCTTGTCCTTTGGGGAGTCTCCATTCTCCTACGTGAGATTCTGGGCTTTGATTTCTTGACGTTTCAGAGTTGGCCCTGGAGTGTGTGTCTGGAATCTTTCCAACAGGAACATACTCTCTGGCATTGCCCCAGTCTGCTCCAACATTCTGCAGCCTCTGTGCTTCCGGCAGGTTACCAAGATCTTTGCTCTCAGAAATCAAATGTCCGTTGCTTTCTTGAAGATGCTCTAAGGAGAGTGCAGTAACATTAGGTGGTTTGCAAAGGAAAACTCAGAAAACTGGTTGCTGTAGTCTTTATTTCTATGTGCAGTTCAGGGCCTTGTTTTTTTTTTTTTTTTTCTTTTTAAAAAAATCAAGTACTAGCCGGGCGGTGGAGTACTAGCCGGGCGGTGGTGGTGCACGCCTTTAATCCCAGCACTTGGGAGGCAGACGCAGGCGGATTTCTGAGTTCGAGGCCAGCCTGGTCTACCGAGTGAGTTCCAGGACAGCCAGGGCTACACAGAGAAACCCTGTCTCGAAAAGCCAAAAAAAAAAAAAAAAAAAACCCTAGTTTCTTTTCTGGCTAACTCTCCTACAAGCCTGAACTCTTATGGTTTTAAATAATAACCATGAATCAGAAGGGGGTTGGGAAAACTCTCACTACATTTTTGGCTCTTTTTAATAATGAGATTTGAAGTGACATGTCAGTAAATATTACTCTGGATTCCCAATTTTCTGAAGAAAACAGATGAACTGTTTATTAAAACCCAGCCATGGGAAAGATTTTCACGTAGCAGCTACAAATGACCACCACTAAAAATAAGTTCTGCCAGGCAGCTGATAAAGGGCACAGGAAGGAGGTTAGGGTTTGTGCCAGTGCGCACTGATTGCCTGCTGCAGGGTCTCTAAAATGAAGATTTAAATTTAGGTGACAATTCTCATAAGTTGGATTCCCTAGTAGGCCACTACCCTGGGCTGTTTTAAGTTTTTACGCGGCCAGCACAGCCTCAACTACAGTGGCCTTCATGACTCCAGTGAATTTTACTTTCCTGAAAGAACTGCCCAGATATAGGAAGTGAGTGCTCAATACTCATAAGCCCCAGATCTGAAGAGAGGTGTGGTATGTCAGGGTCTGGGACTCAGAAGATGTCCCTCCCAGCTCCATCAGAAACTGAAGAGTTGTGAGATGTCCCCCCCAAACCAGCCTACTGCACTGAGCCAAGCGCGGCCAAGCGGAGAAGCCCGTCCCCGCTGAGGCGGCGGAGCTGGGCGCGGCCACTGGAGGACCCGCGTGGCTTCTCCAGGACAGGACAGCCCCGGAACGAGGTGAGGGCTGAAGAGGGTTCAGTCCCGGGTCGGGGAAGCTGGTCCACCAGAACCCACCCGCACGGTTCTGTGCCATTCGTTTCCCCTTCCCCGGGGAACTTCAAAACAACTGGCTCGAGGGGAGGAAGAATACCTGTTTTGGAGACCAGCTCCGGATCCGATGGTTCAGGGCCGCCACTGCCACCACCACCCGGACCGCCTCCCGGGGCCGCAGCCTCCCCTGGAGGTGCGCCCTTCTGCGCACCTTTTCCATCTTTTCCCGGGGCCCCAGAATCGCTCCGCAGCAGCCACAGGATGAGCGCTCCCGCCAGACCCCCGCCGATCAGCAGGGCTGACCAGACAGCGCCCATGGCTGAGAGCCTGCGGGAGACTACGAGCCCTGGTGCAGGGCTCAGCTCACCCACACGGCCACACCCACCCCGCCCGCCCCAGCCTTTTACGGTTCCGTGGCGGCCAACCCAGCCCTCCGGGGCGGCCGCGAACTTTCCCGGCCCCGCCTCCCGCCCCGCTCGCCCCGCCCCGCATCGCGGCGCTCGCCCACTCCCATCTCCTCTCCCGGTCCTTCCACGCCTTGTCCCGCTCCAATCCACCCCACGGCAGAAGAGCCCGGTTACGCACAGCGTCGAGGCAGGCTGGGGGTGGGGGGTGGGGCTCCCGGAGCTCCGAGGCCGGGGAGGGCTCGGTGCCCAGGGTTCTCGCTGGACTTATTAGCACAATCAGGGGTTGGGGGTGAGGGGCGCAGAGGCTTCGAGGAAGCTCCACTTCCTCCCCAGCTTTCTCAACCTCTATGTAATAATCTACATAAGGGTCCACCACCTCCACCAGTCTTGTCTATCTTTCCTCCTAGAACCTCCTACACCTTTTTTAAAAAAGGTTCCAGACTAGCCTATAAGTCTTTACATATCCCAGGCTGCCTCAAACTAGGGATCCTCTTGCACCTCGAGTGGGGACTTACAGGCATGCATCAACCTGTATGTCCCCTCCTATCTCTTTTTTTGCCACGCGTGGTGCTGCACAATGCACACCCACGCATCTAAACTGGATATTGCCCAGGTATGGAGCCCCTACAAGTAAATATTAATAAAGCAGCGGACCTTTATCAAAGCATCATATATTCAAAGTGTTTTGTGTATGAACTTAAATTGATCCTCACACAACAGAAGTCCTGTGAAGGAAGGACCACACCTACTTCAGGGTAATGAGCCAGGGCTTTTTCTGACCTGGAGTCTTTCCCTTAAACACATATTCACATCCTGTTGCTGAAGCCACAGCTGGAAAGTATATGCCTTGCAGTTATTTCTAACCTGGCTCTGCTAACCTCTGGAGGGAGGGGGGATCAATCACTCAACAGTGCTCCTTGCTGGATCCCTGAGATCACAAGAGAGTACACAGCATCTCTTGATAAGGACTTCCTGGTAGGTCGCTCCTCTCTCGGCATCGGCTGCAACTCCTCAGGGAGTAGGTAGATAGGTAGAGAACAGAGCAATACAATGACTTCTGCTTTATTATTAAATTAATGTTCAAATGGAATACTGCTATACCTATAGATAGAGCGTCACTCAGCCCTCCTCAGAGAAGCTCAGAACAGAGACCCACAAGTGGACCACGTGTAGGGAAAGACTTTGGAGCACTCAGTCCTAAACGGGACGGCTTTATTAAATCCCTCCCCTAAAGGCTCACAGATCTAAGTGGAAGAGGAGGGGGAAAGATTCTAAGAGATGACAGTGCCTTGCACACACAACAGGACTCGATACACTTATGCACTCACAGAGATTGTGATAGCTTGAACGACACCTTCACAAGCCCAAACCAGATAGAATCCCAGCACTGAGGGGGGTCGGGGTAGTGAACACCAAGTCCTACCCCTGACCAAGAAGCCACTTGCAATTGATGCCTACTGGAAGGGGAAAATCAGTTTTCTCCAAAGGAGTCTCACTGGGTGTATCGGCCACTTTCCAGGAGTAGATGGTCAGCACATACAAGCTCCAGGTTTTCTTTGGGGCCTGTGCGTGTGCATGTGTGTGTGTACTTTTTGTTTTGTTTGATTTTTTGGTCTTATTCATTTTCTTTCTTTTTTTAAGTTTGTGTTTTGATATCATTTTTATTGTTTTCCTTTTTGAGGAAGGGGAAAGGGAGAACATGAAGTTAGGTGGGTAAGAAGACAGGGAGGATCTGGGATGAGCTGAAAGAGAGGAAAGAATATGCTCAAAGTATACTTAAAAATTAATTTAAAAATTTAAAAAATTTAAGATCCAAGCCAAGAAGATAGGTAGATAGTCAGAAAGCTATTGATGAAAGAGAGGTGGAGGAGGGAGAGACACACAGATATATAGAGAAGCATAACTAGAAGAGAAAGGACAAGTTGCATGATGACCACATCCAACTCACCGAGGTGAAGACATCACTACAGGCTAAACTGAGTTGCAAGCCCCTACGCACTGCCCATCTTCAAACTAGAGGCTAGTAGATCTAACTGCAACCATGTCAGGCCTTCATGAAACTCCCCAAAGATTCTACATCTCACTGCAAAAACCTGTCCCCATGACCTCTCGGGCCCCGCCCTCACTGACCCCTTCCAGCCACAGTGCCTTCCACAACTTACATAGATCCCCACGTGCCTTGTAAGCACTACATATATAGAACTTGGTGTGTTCTTTGTCAGCTTTATTTCATGTCTTTAATTAGAGATTTAATGGTAAACTTGGGTTCACCAAGTACAGTTTGGAATATCCAAACCATAGCATGTACCTTCCATCACAAACCAGTGAGCATAAGCCTACGGTTTCCTTGAGTTCTGTGAATTTACGATTCCAAAAAAGAAGATAGGTAGGTGGATAGTCAGAAAGAAATAGATGAAAGAAAATTAAAATAGTGTTTCCTTGAATTCTAGCAAATCTTGAAACCCAGAGAAAAGGATGCTGGATCCTGGAAGTTCATCAGTCAATAGAAACAGGAAACTCATGGTCTTGTGATTGATTGTTGAAATGGGGAGACATTTTTTTTTGTTGTTTTTTGTTTTGTTTTTTCGAGACAGGGTTTCTCTGTGTAGTTCTGGCTGTCCTGGAACTCACTCTGTAGACCAGGCTGACCTCGAACTCAGAAATCCACCTGCCTCTGCCTCCCAAGTGCTGGGATTAAAGGCGTGCGCCACCACCGCCCGGCAAAATGGGGAGACTCTTAAACTGAGCCCTTTAACGTATGAGATCAAAACCGACTTCAGGTAGAGAGTCAGGACTGTGTCAAATGGAACGACATCAAGTTTGTGCCCATGAGTTACTTGATGTGCAAAACCTCTCTCCTACTTACCAGCTCTCTCCATCTGGAGAGAAGTTTTCAAGAGTGGGACAGAGTAAAATCTCCCTTTCCACTGTCCTTGCGTTGTTGGTCTCAGTGTCTGCACCCTGTTCAGACCTCATCTGTGTACCTCAGTCTGCTCAGACTGCTGCACTCTGCAGTGATTCTCTGTTTGACTCTGCTCAAAACCTTTCCTGAAACTTGGCATTGCTTTCCTCAGCTAAGAATTCCACTCAGAACCTACCATGTTTCAGATGGATATGCCTTTTTTTTTTTTTACCTGAATTCTGAACATATGAACTTCTTAGCACAAGGTCTGAGGTTTTCTTAGGATGTACTTATTTTTGTAACTTGTATCCTCCTTGAGATCACAAATCCCTGGAGGATTGGAGATTTTTTGTTCCTTGTGTTCCCTGGAATGCCTCCTCTACCATCTAATACGCCCTTGCTTTTATTGTTGCTTTTCATTGAAAGCCTAACTGATGTAATTGATGCTGGCCCCAGGCTAAGTGCTTCAGCAGGATTATATCATGAATATCTCAACATTGGCTGGATCTGCTCAAGGTCATCCAGGGTGTGGCTGACCAGGAGATTCGATCCTAGATTCCCGAGCCCAGAGGCTCTGGCTATACCAAATCCTGATGATGCTTAAACCATGCCCACATTTCAACGCATACCTTTTAGAAGTAAGTGTGTGAATTTGGATGCGTGGTATCATGGTTGCTTTCCGAGAATATTCCAGCATTGCAGACATGCTGCTGGTTTCCAATTCCTCTTTCTTCAAGCCCTGGCACTCTGGGGATGTACCACAACACCTGTGCGTTTCTGTCAAACTCTGTGCCTGTGTCTCCCCATGACATTCTCCACAAGCAAACCCTCTCTGCAGCTCGGTCACGTTGGAGCCTCCCAGGCTCAGGTTTCGTAGACATTTTCTAACTGCAACTGTTTGCAAACCTCTGACTCATCTCGGCACCTGGATGGACTCCAGGCTGAGCTGCTTGGTAAAGATGAAACCTTTAGAAATGGAGAGTCTGTATTGGAAAAACTAGCCAGTTCACCGTGGGGTGCGGGAGGGCGGGCTGGGGGTGGAGCTAGGTGAGTGGAGGCGGAGCTAGGTGAGTTGTACTGCTTTAAACAGTGCGTTTCAGATGGAATACAAATCACCAATCCGTGAAAACAGTGAAAGTACAAGGCTAAGGAACAAAATTCAAGATACTGTCACCATTAAAGTACCGAACATAGGAGGCTGTTTTGATATAATTACATCCAACGGAGGACGCTTAGATAAAGTTACCAGATAGCACCAAACAAGGGCAAATGTCTGTGTTGTCTAGAAGACAAATTACTAAGATGCAAATATCCAACAAATTCACCCACATTGACAAGATAAGGGCAGGAAGGACACCCTTTTTCTTCATGTCTGGGCTGAGCTAACAGCAGGTATCCACAGACTGAAGAAACAAACATAGAGAGGCTCAAAATCACCGGCAATCAGAAAGGGGCCAATTCAAGGAAGATGTCTGTGGCTATCCCAGAAGCAAAACTTGGCAAGAAAATGGTTGGGGAATCTGGGAAAGTCAACAGGCATAGTCAGAAGCCTTGCTTGAAATGACCAGCGCACGGACCCCACCACCTATCTCTCATCAGCATGTGTGGCCTGCAGGAGAACCCTCACTTTTCTTCTGCTCTTATGCCATGAACACAGACAAACTCTGTGATCAGATGTATGGGACTTTCCCATATCCACCCAGCAAGTTCTTCTTCAGCAAAATTAGCAAAATATCCTTATTCAGCTCAACTCTGGCAGAAACTACCTGAAGACATTACCAATTCCACAGATGAGGGGCTTGGTCCCCAAGTCTACATCCACTCACCATGCTGGACACCACTCACAAGCCTGGGATAGCTTTGCCCATGTCTGTAACTCACCAGTTATAACCAGGGCTCCAGGCCTAAGGCCAAGCTCAGTGACCAGCATGGGCTTAATCCTGTGAGGCCTGGGTTCTATCCCAACTACCCACAATGGAACTTGAATGTATAGCTCCTTCAGAGCTCATATGTTGAAGATATAGCATTGTCTGGGAAAGGCTGAGTCCCCAGCACT